CTGTGAGGCAAGGATCCATAATTGTTCTTTCAGGCTTGTGTACAGTATCCAGTTGTCCTGACTTTTTTTTACAAAGAACTTTCTTTATCAGTCCAGTATATGAAGTCAGTGTTTCCCTGGAATCCATGCAGAAGACTATTGTTATCTATTGTTATCTACTATCTGCTATTGTTTCCTGATATCATGCATTATCAAATATACCACTGGGTGTGCTCTTTCACTTCATCTCCCTGCTCGGTCATGAGGTGGGTTGTGGCAGCAGCTGCTGCAGCAGTTGTTGATTTACAGGAAGTGGTTAATTTGTGTCACTTGTTTCATAGTAACTTGCAGAGATGCTCTCTGAGTCTCTATAACACAATGATATGAAGTTGTTGTGGTTTGTGGTTTACAGTGCTGCTTTGAGCTTCTCTAAATTAAAATAACCGTGCTCTGAAAATCTAAGTCATAAAAATCATTCCCCTAAGTATTGGAAGATAACAGTGCCAGATTTGGGTTGGGGGTCTTTTGCTGATTGTGTGACAATGTTAGCACTCTTGAAAACACAAGTGGAGTACTGATAGGAACACTGGCCCACAACTGCAGCAGATAAGTGGATCTGCGTTATCAGCTTGGTACTCACTGCTCAGTTAACAGCACAGTATGCATGCAACTATGCATGACTCAAGTAGGCTCACTTTGACTTGTACACGTTATAGTCTGACATGAAATGACCACTGCAGTGCAAATAGATTTGAGGCTTAAACTGTTACCAGTGACTTTTTTTGTTTTCATTTTCTGGAAACTCAACTCGGACTCAAACGAGGATTTTATGATATAAAGAAAACAGAACTCCTGGGACAGCAGGAGCTCAGTCTGTGGGGACTTGGGTTGGGAACCGGAGAGTTCAAGTCCTGGTGCGGACAACGTCTATGGCACCCTGTTTGTGCATGTGTGTATTTCAGCCTATGTGTGTGTGAAGCATGCCTCAATAACCAGAGTAATTTCCCCTCATGGGAAAAGTAAAGGGTTCTTTTAAAAGAGAGAGAGAAAGCATTGAGAGCATGGCTTTTCTTATCCATTCTCTGACTTTTATTGAACATTGAAAGCTGGTATGACTCGGGCTTCTCACTCATTGTAGACAGCCATGACTCAGAGATATATTTACACAGGAGATACTTGATTTCTGCTGTATTTATGTGTAAAATGACGCACACTCTTCCTTTAGAGGGAATGAAATTGTAACGGGTGTCAGTCATACTTTTACAACATTTTGCAGTTAAAATTATTTGTCAATCAAGGTCAAAGATTCAGGGATAATGGAAATCATAGTCAGTCAAAGTCCTACTCAAAGATACTGCTGATAAGTTGCCAAATTCAGTGTTTCCTTGCCATAGTAATCAGTAGGTAGGTGGGCCACCAATTAGCTTTGTTATGGCAATTATATCAAAGTAAGCTGCCTTTAAGATCATATTACTGCAAATGGAATATTGTTTGTTTAATTAAAATTGCAAGTTTTTTGCAGTCCTGTTGTTATATGTCAATGGAGTAACAGAACTAGTAACAGTAGCCGTGGTAAGCTATGAAACCCCGACAGTAACCAGCAGCCAACAGACCACCACACGTCCTTCTACCTAACCACTGAGCTCGTGCACACAGATCTTTTTTCCCCTTAATGTCTGGTACCCAAGTTATTTTCAGAACTTTCCTTCTTCTATAGAAGCAGTTACTCATTACAGAGGTCATATGATGGGGAGCAGTGAATCATTACATCATCACATCTGTGACCATCTTTCTCTGATTTTCATGAATTTTCATGAATCATTTTCTGAACACTTTGAGCTTTATCTCAATTAAATCTTATCTTGTATAAATGTTGAAAATGGAGACACCATTGCGGATGTGTTTGTAATTAATCAAGCTGACCTTGTGACAGGAACACAGCCCAACGCCTTGTTGCTTCTTTAACTCAAAGAAGGGTCTAAAATCTGACACAAGCATGTTAGCTTCAAAAGTAAACACATGAAACTGCTGAAAATACAAACATTTTTTATTCTATTTTTATAAAGCGTCGATCAGGGATGCTCGATATAAATTTAATTGAGCTGATAACCAACAATGCCCTGCTCCCGTTGGTTGATACCGTTAAGATTTCCAACATATTTTGACATGATTGTATTTGAAAAATAAGTTATTAAGATTTAGTTTATGCACATCTGGAGGTCAGAAAGGTTCAACATGTAGTCAGCAAAGATATTTACGGTAATATTCTGGTTGACCTCACCAATGTCAACACAGAAAAACTAAGTCAAATGTATGACTTCAATGTGCTTGTTAATAACTAAATGAGCACCATTTATGAGCGGGTGATTTTAATGGTTTGAATTTAATTATCGCAATAATTAGTTTATTTTTAACTGATTTGTTATCTGAACCGACATATATTGTGCATCCCTCGTTTTGACTACATTTGAGAAAACAGGTGCTATGAAACCTTGATCAGACTTGCTGACCCGTGCTTTTCTTTATTGTGCACTGTGGGTGGGGTCAGTGATGGATTGGGAACCTGTACTTCTGTCAGGCAGCAGAGTAAACGGAGCTCCACTGTGGATGCACCATCATTTGAGCAGTTTGACCCGTCTGACCTCGCGTTTTAGTGCTCGTGGCCTCGGCTCAGTCTGGAGCTGTGGCGCGATTAGCTCCGAGCATCTGTCGCCCAAACTTTGTAGTGATCCTCCCTCACATCTGCACCATCGTAAGTCACGGTCGGTGTTAATGTGCACTTAGTGCTCAGCCAGCCTAGACGTGGTGGGGGGTGGTGGTCCGACTGGGATGCAGTGTGCTCTCTGAAAATGGAGCATGCTCTAAAAAAGGATAGTCCTACATTAAGGATTCTATTCTGTGTTTTTCACTGGAGAGTGGGAAGAAAGATAGTAAAGGAGGGATGTTGTAAGTGGAGAAGAAGCACATATATATACAACACACTCGTCAGCCTCTTTGGCAGATTGTTATCCAGCCCAGCTCCAGGGAGTGGAGAGATTGTTGCCTTTGTCTTGGTGAAAGAGGCAGCACTCGAGGAGAGTAAATCAGCTCTTTGTTTTTGTCTGCCGCTCCCTAACATGTCTGCCAGTGTTCATTAATTAAAGTAGACATGGAAAAGAAGCAGGCAATAACATGCCATGAGATAAAACCACAGAATACACCCTAGTGTTCATGGTAAACAAAGTCAACAACACCCCGACCAAGGGGAAAATCCCCCCTTAACACACACACACACACACACACACACACACACAGACAACAGGTGCCCCCTTTAAACTGTAGACATTTTTTATAGAATAAAGTTCAGCTGTAGTGTTCAGCTCTAATCATGGTTAACCTTAAACTAAAGAGGAGGTGTAAATAATGCACAGCACTATGATTATGTTTTTAACATCTTTTCGTCTCAGGTCTTAGCTGATGCTTATTTGATGTTTATTTTACTCCTCTTGGCTAATCATGCTCAAAGTTAGCTCGGCTCCCTATGTTTGCCTAAGATCAGGTTTGGGGCCTATCTCAAGGCCAGCTGCAGCTGAAACTTAGACTCTATCCTTCAAATAAAAAACCAAGAGCCCTCGATCAATGAGGTCACTGTCTGGTCCCTGAAGACAAGTCCTGGAGGGGGGGAGGTGAAACTCCATCCACTCCCATGACATCAGAGCAGCTAAGTACTGCCTCACTCCTCCTGTGGTATTAACCTCGGCGTAGTCTTGCTGTGCCGAGTGCTCAAAGAGTCATAAGACCAGTTGTTGTGAATGTGCTCATTGTTTGCTTGTGGATCGCTGAACTCACAAAATCATACTTTTAAAAACGTCTGGGAGGAACTTGTGATAAGAAACACTGCAGACAATGGGACCACGCTTATAATGCAGGACACATAATCTCAGCATTTGCATAGGCAGCACATTTAGGAATATTTATAGGCCTGCGCTACATTTAAAGCAATATCCCACATCAGAGAGAGAGAGAGAGAGAGAGAGAGAGAGAGAGAGAGAGAGAGAGAGAGACTCTCTGACGTTGCTGCACTGCTAACGCACTTTAACCATCTCTTCATTGTCTTTTATAGTAAAGCATAAACAGTGTATATCAAAACAATACACACAATATGAAAACTAAAAAAGAGAAAGTCAAGGAAAATAATATATATAATAATAATAATAACAAATAAAAACATAGCAGCCCTACTGACAGTCAGATCTGTTCATCAGTCATTACCCTCCAGGAAGTTGTAAAAAATAGTCCACACTTTCCAAAGCTTGTCAAGTTTGTTTTTTGAGAAATAGCCTTTTCCTCTCGAGCAAGAAAAAGAGTTGTTCCTTTCAACCACTGAGAGACTCCACAGGTTGTTTGTTTCTTCCATGAGCGAGCAATGTATCGTTTGGCCTCCAGGAAACATGCATTGAGTAGATATTTGACATTATTTGAAAGTACAAAATCATCAGGATAGATATTAAGAATACACAATTTAGGGTTAATGCACCTCCTCTTTTACTTTTTCCTGTCTCACTAATCTTCACCATCTTCCTGATTTGGGTTTGATATCTAATACAATAGACAATCACTCGACTGCTACCGAGAGGAAATCATCCCCTCTGAACATTTCTCAAGAATGTGGAGACTTAGCAAGGTTGGGCTTTATTCTGTCTGGCAGCTGTGAGTGTTGCAAACAGTGAAGAATAGCCATCTATGTCTGTTATTTTAAGAGTACAATTGGTTACAGGGGGAATTACGTCTAACTAGACTAAACTTTGGAAATGGTAGCTGGCATTTATTCAGAATTCTTGCCCAGCTTAAGTTGCATTGGTTAGCTCAACACATGCCATATCAAGGCGTGTATATCCCGTCAGTGCTGTACCACACTGTCAGCATCTTTCAGCTCTTTTAAAAATGAAATACACATACAAAGTTTCTGATAAAATATTAAGAAATCTTTGGAAGAGTCGATCTGTAATTCTCTTCTTGCGTTGCCTCTGTTCTTCTCCCAGGTCCACAGAGACGTCCCAGAGCCTCTTGAAGTTCTCAGCTTTGATGCAGTGCAGGTACAGCTATTTATTCTCAAACACAGATCTAAATTTACCACCTCATCATCGTGTCTGCAGCAGACAGCCAGAGTTGGAAATTGAAATGCAGATGCAGGGGTCGGTAAATGGAGAGTAGAGACTGTCATGTTGGTGGATAGAGAGGCCACATATAAGAAATTATAAGATATATAAGAAAGATATTTAACTGTTGCAGTAAAATCAGATTGGCTTATTATTATTTTTTTTTTTAAATACTTTATTGCAGGCTGTTTTACTACATTACAAGTTGTCATATTTCATCACATATTTTGTTCATCCTGGCACATTTTTATCTATGAATTTTTTAAACATACAAGAATACATACAACATGAAATAAAATAAAAATCCAAAGAAAAGGTATGAAGAGAAAAAATATAATTCAATTAAGATTTAGAAAGGATAATAATAATAATAATAATAAGAAAAATAAATATAAAATAAAACCATAAATAGAATGGTGCAGGGGGGGTTGTTCCTTCACTACTCTCCTAATTTGATATAATTTAATTTACATACCTGTTATTATTCCACTTTATCTGTTTCCTTTATCCATTTACTCCAGTAACACATGAATTCATCTTCTCTCTTTCTTAGCCTATACACAATTCTTTCCATTTCTTAAATATCTTCCACTGTTAACTTCCATGCATTAATAGACGGGACCAGCTTTGTGTAATTTGCTTTAATGCAGCTACAGTTTATACAAATATTTGTTTGGATTGACTCATTCTTATTGCATAAGTGTTTGTAATGTCAGCATTGCTCACAAGGGGAAACCCTGAGTTTCTTACTGCAGCAGAAATGTGTGTCATCGTGTTGTCCTCATCTTAGTCGTGGGTGGAAGCTGAGACTATCTTTATCACTGCTGCAAACAGTTTCTGTGATTAACACACAGTGACAGTCAGGGTCCGAAATTCACTTTTTGACTCACCGCCAAGGTGGCAGGTAGATAAAAAATTCACTGGCCAAACATATTTTTTTACTGGCCAAAATAACAAATTTTGTTTTTGTGTCCTACACACATCTGTTACAGTACATTTAATTGAGAAGGTTCTGTTTAATCAATAACAAATTTAAGTCACAGATTCAATCATCAGATCAGGAAATTGAGAAATTGTAAAAACAAATATTTGCTGTTCTTTATTTTTTTCTTAATGAATGATTTGTAGGCAGTAGTTCATGCTCATTGATTTGTTGACATGTTGTGTGAACTCGATCTTTCCAGTCCAGTCTGACGTCCTTTTCTCTGCCGTCTCAGTGAACCTGGTGCAAGATGACGGAAGAGGTGATTGTCATCGCCAAGTTCGACTACATGGCTCAGCAGGACCAGGAGCTGGACATCAAGAAGAACGAGCGCCTCTGGCTCCTCGACGACTCCAAGTCCTGGTGGAGGGTTCGAAATGCCACCAACAAAACGGGCTTCGTGCCGTCCAACTACGTGGAGCGGAAAAACAGCGCCAGGAAAGCGTCTATCGTCAAGAATCTCAAAGACACACTAGGTAAAAAAACAAGATTGAATATTACTCATTTGAATGAATTGGAGGAGATGACGAGACTGTGTTTAAAGGCTTTATATGTGATGTTTTGATCCAGCAGAGCACCAGCATGAAACCAAAACAACTGGCGCTGCATTGTTGTGTTAGCATGCTAATGCTAGTGATCTTTATTATGCTGGTATCTTCACACTGCATGTAAATTTACCTGAAATGAGCGTGATCTAGAAACACAGTTAAGCAGTGAGTACAGTATGTTATTCTTCTTTTCTCTAGTCCCTCAATTAAACAACTTTTATACACGAGGGGAGGAGTCAGCCGGCCGTCCCGGCGATGTAAACAAAGTGAAGATAGGACTCTGAAAACTCTGAAAACATCACAGACAGTGGGACTCGGGTGTTACACCCATTGTAGACAGTCATGACTCACAGAGTTATTTTCAGAGGAGATACTTGATTTCTACATTAAAGTGTGAAACATCACAGAGAAAGACTTTAACATGCAGAGGTGTTGGCACTGTAAACATTGATCTTCTGTCACTCTGACTTGCTTGTTGTTTTATACTCAGCTGAAACAGAGTAGCATCAGAGCACATGTCTTTGACCACATTTTTCTAAGGTAACAGCCTGCACAGGAAGAAGGTCTCAGGCTGATACCTGATTGGTTGAAACATGAGACCTTCTTGCTTCTCACTACATACTTAAACTGAAACTGCAGCATCTAGATCAGAGAGTCTGTGGTGAACAGTGTCAAGTAAAGTTTTCCATTTCGTCTACAAAGCTTGCACAGAGGTGAGGCAGTAAATACTATACTTGATTTACTTTAGCTGTTCCTCGGAGGTCGAGTCCTGATGCTAACAAATTCAGTATTTCATAACTGTGGAGGGGGGAAAAAAGCAATCTAGCCAGTCTGTGTTATGTAAACAGATCTAAATGTCTGTACTCTGTGTTTATGTGTGAGCGAGCGCTGCAGTGTGTGTCCTCCTTCCCCGGTCCTGTGAGGACCAGAATTGCACAGGTGTTGTCTGCTCTGTCAACACAATACTTATATTTCTGGGCACTGCTGTTTGCCAAGGACCTTGTTCTTACCACGAGCAAGCCAAAAAGTAACTGTGTTTGTAAGCCAAGCTTTCCATTTGTCTTTCTCTTACTTCTCCCTGATGACAGACGCTCATGATCATTTGGGATATACACTTTGACCACTGGCATTCGCTCTGGAACAAAGGCCATTCATTTAGCCTTTGATTTCACTTCATGATCATTTTAAAGTTTCTGATGCTTTTTTTTTTCTTTCCACTCTAATCTCTTGGGTTGTTCTGCTCTGCAGGGCATCGTTGCCCCCGGCTAAGAGCATTATGGGATAAACCACGTTTGTTGGTGTGCTTCGGCCATGTTTGTTTGGCACAGATCTCATTAGATTAGGTTGAAGGTTTGTGTTGTACAACAGCGTTTGTTACAGAGACTTAAAGGCACACCAAACAGGGCTGTGTGCTAATGACGTTGTTGTATGAAGGCTTTGGGTTGTTCTGACTGCATAACTCTTCAGTGTGCTGCTGTGCAGCTCATTTTTTTTCATCTCATTTTCTTGAGGCTAAACTACAAAGCCCAAACCAGCACCTTCTGTTTTTAGACCTCTTTCGACCAAAACACAGCTTCAAACCACGCTTGAGACCGCCAACACATTTTGGCATATCTCCTCCTCGCTCATCTGTGATGTGGTGGTTGATTGCATATCACAGAGATTGTTGACCTGTTCCCCACCATGCCTGCCTCTTCCTGTGCACAGAGGAATAAAAGTAGAGAGAGAGTCATTCTTCTTGGGTGCTTCCAACCAGAAGCGTGTCATTAATTTCTAGCTTTATCACACAGTGCAGTGTTTGCAAAAGACTTATCTGTCGGACACGTGACAGCGGCTTCCTGTTAGCTGTGCAGCGTTCTCTGTACAAGTCTGTTTGTTGTGGTGTGTTGTGACACCAGGGCAGCACTTTGAGCTGAAATGCTCTGATGAAATATGAAACACAAACTTTCTCGTTTGCTTAAATTCACTTCTCTAATAACACTGACTTTAATTTACAAGACTTTTCCTCTCTGTTGTTGCTGAACCTGAGTCAGTACATATGTCGTTTAACTGTGTGTGTGTGTGTGTGTGTGTGTGTGTGTGTGTGTGTGTGTGTGTGTGTGTGTGTGTGTGTGTGTGTGTGTGTGTGTGTGTGTGTGTGTGTGTGTGTGTGTGTGTGTGTGTGTGTGTGTGTGTGTGTGTGTGTGTGTGTGTGTGTGTGTGTGTGTGTGTGTGTGTGTGTGTGTGAGGTTTGTGTTGTCATGCATGTGTCCACAAACCTTCCCAACACCTGTCACTACCTCCACTGATCAAATAACCTCAGGTGAACAGCTGCAGGAGTGACACACAGCAGTACACACACACACCCTGACACACTCAGGCTCAGGTCTCACAAACCTAATAAAACACAGACTCTCATGTAAGACATGAGTTAAGGTGAAAAGAAACAAGCCCTGTTAAAACACAGCTACAAGCAGAGCTAGCTTGTTAATGCATCACCTTCATTTGTCCTTTCAGTGATCTGTGTGTGTGTGTGTGTGTGTGTGTGTGTGTGTGTGTGGTGTCATCGTTTGGAGGAATGTGTGAGGGTATGATCTCTCTGCAGATGACTGTCGGACGATTCATTTCTCCTCGGGTTTGTTGCAAAAGTTACGAGTGTGTCTCTACAAACAGCGGCGGTCATGTGACATTCGAGCACTCAGTGACTCACTCGGCCGTTACAGCGTCTCCACAGATCCCTGCAGAGGGGTTTCATTTGAACTACCTACCCTCTTAAGAATACAAATCTGCCGCTAAATGTAGAAAAAAAAAAGCTCCTTTACTTTTATCTTTTTTCTGTCATCTCTTTTTTCTTTCTCTGAGTCTGAACTTCACTCCCCCCTCCCCCTCCCCCTCCCCCCCCCTCCTCCCCTTTCCATGAGGCCTCTGTACTCTGCCTTCCAGCGCTGCACTGGAGGCCAGTCTCTCCCTCCTCTATCTCCATCCCGCTCTCTCATTGGCTAAGCCCTGAACCACATGGTCACAGAGTGGGCCGCCCTGCTCTGCTATCCTGCCCCCGGCTCTTCTGGGTGTTCACATGGAATAACTCCACAGCTGCAGTGGGAAGAGAGCGAGGGGGCCGGGAGAGAGAGACAAGAGAGGAGGGAGAGCCCAAAATGGACATGGCTAACCTTTTCAAACATTTCTTTCGTGAGTTACTCCACTTTTTATCTGGCCGTTTGTTAGAAGTTTTTCTGACTTGTTTTGATGTTTTTCAAGAGGTGGAAAGAAGTTTTGTTCTCTCTCTCTCTAATTCTCTCCCTCTCTCTCTCTCTGACTATGCAGGAGTGGTTGCTTGTCAGTTTTTTTCTCCTGATTTCTCTTGTCTGATTTTTCACTTTGGTTACGAGGCACTTCCAGCGGCAGGGTTGCCAAACGCATGTGTCATAATTAGAGCAATAGGAAACTGTATATTTGTGCTGACATGTTGAGCTGGCACACAGAGAAGTGGAGAGGGAGTGTGTTTTGAGGCTGTGTCTGTGTGAGCGGCTGCAGAGACTGGGGTGGATATGCTTTTGAAAAAGCCTTCTGCTGAGCTGAAGCCTGTAATTGCCTCAACAATCCTTCTCTCTCTCTTTCTTTCAAAACACACACTCACACAGATATACACACACACTCACACAGTAATCCAACTGTTCTTTTTTTAACAAGAGTTTGCACTAGTGAGTGGGCTGCAACTTGACGGATTATCATGCTTGATTAGTCCCCTCTCTGCCCTCTTTTTTTAAGGAGTATCTGAAGACGTAGCCACAGTCTGTTTTCTTTTATGCTACCCTCGAGGCCGAGCTTTCTGGGAGGGGTCCTCCACCCTTCCACCACTCATGGGGCTACAGTTGAAGGGACGTGGGGTGCTCATGTAGAACACTGTGGTCATTGTGCGGGGTAAAGTGGGGGGGGGTGTCTCTCTCTGCTGATTGATGGGACCCGGGCGCCCATCTCCCGCACCTCGCTCGGTTATCAGAGGAATGTCATAACCTCGACAGCTCCGAGGGGGCCGTGGTTACTTTACAGCCACGCTGACACACTTTTTCAAAAAGGCCCCGGCGCTGTAATCTCACCTTGTAACTGTTGAGTGGTATCTCCTGTCCCCGGCCTATCTTCACACAAGTACTGTGTCTGTGTCTACACGAGCTAACAAACGTTGTGTAAACCGAGAGCTAGCCTCCTCTCCCTCTTTTTTTTTTTCCTCTCTTTCCCCACCCTCTGTTTTCCTGTTTCTCAGCCTCCCCAGCGAGCGGAAACTCTAATTTGAGCCACATTTCTCCCTGAGCCCTTTTTCTGAGGAGTGCTGGGCCAAAAAGGAAGTGAGAAGTTAGAAGGATGTTGAATCATTGTGCGGGGGGGGGGGTCTGTGTTAGTGGACTCCCCACCAACCAGTTTCTGTCCCTCCCTTTTCCAACTGGCTCTTCCTTTCTCCAAACCCGACCGCTTAACGCTCCTCAGCCAGAAAATAAAAAGACATCATGGTTATATTGACGAGAGTTGTCAGCGTCACGTCAGGACGTCTGCTGTTGTCTCTTTGTTTTCCTGTGTCCTCTGCAATTAAGAGTTACTCAAGAGGAAGTGAGCAGGGGTCTGGACTTGTTGAGGACCAGCCAGTGCTGAAATGGCACCACTCCCCCCACGTCTGTTGAACCTCATGTTCTACTGCAACGGCTGATTAGTTTATTAAAATGACATGCTCAGATTATTTTAGTGGTTATTTGATTACATAGTTTCTCCTGAAACCATTTTGATATCAGAGCTGATAAGCATCAGGTAGATCAGAATCAGATTTATTGTCCAGGTATGTTCACACACACAAGGAATTTAACTTCAGTGAACTGTGCTCTCTTATGTACAGGTACAACATTAAATATCAACAATAAACATAATAAGAAAAGACTAATATTTACATGACTAAATATGAA